AGCCTTAAGCTGTCCCCCTGGGTAGAGTGCTGTGGCATCACAGCTCATAGCAACCTCCAACTCCTGGGCTCAAGCGAGTCTCCTGCCTCAGCCTCCCGAGTAGCTCGGACCACAGGTGCCTGCCACAATGCCCAGCTATTTTTTGGTTGCAACCATCATTGTTGTTTGGCGGGCCCGGGCTGGATTTGAACCCTCTACCTTAGGTGTATGTGGCTGGTGCCTTAGCCACTTGAGGCACAGGCGCTGAGCCAATCACTTCACTTTATATTAAACATCTCCTACTTTGTCATTTATTCAAAAAGCATGTGCCTTTTTTGTTTTTTTTAACTTTGACATTTAGTTTTATTTTTCCTGGAAATTCTTCTGTCAATTTACTCTTAGATCATCTACCTCTGAAGATGACAAGGAAGATAGTGCCTGGGAGCCCCAAAAGAAAGTTCCTAGAATCCGTAAGCAGCCTGGTCCCAAGGAATCCAAACCAAAGAGGGTATCTCGGGTGAAGAATACGCCACAGATGAGCGATGGCTCAGAAGGCATTGCTGTCAAAGAGGAGCTGGTAGGTGCTGTAGCAAGGTAGAGGGAACTTTCTAATGGTTTAGTGTTACTTTCTTTTTACACAGAGTAGGACAAAGCATGGAAATGGCAAAAACTGCTAGCATTGGTGTCTTCTGCCGTGGGTCTAATATTTGTCATCCAGTCTACTGTATTTCTGTGTTTATTTCCTTTTCCTTGTCTAGGGAGTGGTCTAGGTATGATAGTGGTAGTAACGAAGGTGGAATTAGCAAATATTTGAATGCTTATCATTAGCAGCTACAACCATTGAGGCAAGTGCTATTGTTTTTTTTTTGACCATTTGAACCTGTCACCTCCAGCATATGGGGCCAGCACCCTACCTTTCTGAGCCACAGGTGCCACCCTGGCAAGTGCTGTTGTTATCCTGATTTTATAGTTAAGAAAGCTGAGGCAAGAGATGTTCAGTGAGTTGCTCGTGGTACACAGATAGTAAGTGATGGAACTGAGTTTCAAAGTTAGGAACATGATTTTGTCAGCGGGAACTGATACATCTCCCATGGGTGTTTTTTTATTTTTTGAGACAGAGCCTCAAACTGTTGCCTTGGGTATAGTGTCATGGCATCACAGCTCACAGCAACCTCCAACTCCTGGTCTTAAGTGATGGGAGCCTCCCAGGTAGCTGGGACTACAGGTGCTTGCCACAATGCCTGGCTGTTTTTTGGTTGTAGTTATCATTGTTGCTTGGTAGGCCGGGCTGGATTTGAACCCACCAGCTCTGGTGTATGTGGCTGGCGCCTTAGCCGCTTGAGCTACTGGCGCCGAGCCTCTCATAGGTGTTTTTACATTAGCCATGCTAATGATGTGGGTGATGCATACAATCAGAGTGCTGTCTCGAGGACTAGAAATTCTTGACCAGCACTTTTTCTCTTTAGAGGTTGAACTAAATAAGGAATTAAATAGTCAAATTTGCTTGATTAACACGGACTCAGAATAGAGGATTAGATAATTCATTCATTTAAGTTTATTAAATGTCTACTGCGTTCTAGGCATTATGCTTGTCACAATGACAGTTGAATGTTTTAATTGCATGAAGCAAAGGTAGTCTGAAGTATTGTTTCATAGCAAGGCTCTCTTTTGGGGATGAAAATATCTCAGAATCTGTTTGCTAAGCTTTCCTTTATTTCATACATTACTCAGAAGAATGCAAATCATATTTGCTTTCCATAGTTTTCCTTTTTCTGCTTCTCTGTGTCTGGCAACCTCATTTATGATCAACACTTTGTTTAGTTTTGCCAATTCATTTCATTAGTGTATTATCAACTCCTATAGGCCTGGGAGTTAGTTATTTTATCTTTTTATGTCTGCTATGATTCATTATATTTTGAGCACAAAATTTAATATCCAGAGGGTTATCTAATGTTCATCATTTTCAAGTTCAGATGATGGTAGTAGGTGGGCACTGGAGTGGGAGTACTCTTAATAGTTCCCCAAATTTTTAATAGTCAGTAATTTTGGAAAATAGAGTTGGTAAGAGAGAAGATTGAATTTTGACTGAAATTTATTTTGTGAGTTGTTTGTGTTTGTATTTGTTATATGCATCCTTGGATAATGGAAAACAGGCTAGCTTGCAAAACTATCAGTGACAGGGTCTTTATCTTATTTACTGTTCTCTCCCCAAAGTCATGATGATTGCCAGGTCTCATTTCTTCTCACCTGAGCTGTCACTTGGGTGGGAGTGGCAGGATAGTGGTGGTGGTAGTTCTTAGGCGCTTTGTGTGGACTCCTATTAAAGCAAAATGCTTGACATTACCTTGTTGTCTTTTTTTTTCT